TTAACATATGCAGTTATATATATATATATATATATATATATATATATATATATATATATATATATATATAATATATATATATATATAATATATATATATATATATATTTAATATATATAATATATATATATATATATATAATATATATATATATATATATATATATATATATAATATATACTCACCTATTTGTGGTTGCAGGAGTCTTGACATAGCTCCTGGCCCCGCCTCTTTACTGGCCGCTACTAGGTCCTCTCTCTCCCTGCTCCATGAGCTTTATCATACCTCGTCTTAAAAACTATGTATGGTTCCCGCCTCCACTACGTCCTGACAACTCTATGACTAAATAAACACTTCCTAACATCTGTTTGACTCATCTGCGTCTTCAACTTCCAATTGTGACCCCTTTTTTCTGTGTCCCATCTCTGGTACATCCTGTCTTTGTTCACCTTGTCAATTCTTCGCAGTATTTTCTATGTCGTTATCATGTCTCCCCCTAACCCTCCTGTCCTCCAGTGTCGTCAGGCCGATTTCCCTTAGCGTTTCTTCGTAGCCTTGTTGCAAACCTTTGCACTTTCTCTAATTTCTTGACGTGCTTGATCAAGTGTGGGTTCCAAACTGGTGCTGCATACTCCAGTATGGGCCTGACGTACACGGTGTACAGAGTCTTAAACGTTTGTGTGTGTGTGTGTGTGTGTGTGTGTGTGTGGTGTGTGTGTGTGTGTGTGTGTGTGTGTGTGTGTGAAAATTAAAGAAATATATGTTACAATTTCGTGAGAATAAGATTTATAAACAGATAATTCATCATTCTCATCTAAGGTCGCCAGACGTGGGACCGCCACCGCACTGACTAGGTTCCCGGGTGTACAAGATATTGTACATATCAGACTTATAACAAAACGCCAGCATGTTGGCCACACCTGGTATATCGCATGATGATAGACGAGAAAGATTAAGGGTTAGCAACAAAAGTAGTTTCGTAGCTAAATGGGCTGACCAGTGAGGAGAGACTAAATTAAGTGAAAACGATTTCAGACGACCAGGGGTAGACATGATCACAATATACAAGATACTCAAGGATATGACTCGGCAGATTGGTGTTGACATGCTATTTGAAATGCCAGACACAGAGAGGTGAGCACAGATCAAAGTGTAAAACACAGATGAGCCCCAGGGATATTAGGATTTTTTTTTCAGATAGACGACAAGGTCGAGGAAGTGACGGAGAAAAAACTCTACACACAGTCTCAAGAATAAGAACGACAAAAGCTCAAGAGGCTAGAAATCACTTAATAAACACCCTCCGTCCAGTCTGCTCAGAAGCGAAAGGACTCGCAGTCGATACCCTACCCAGGCACCGTACACCTGTTGCTCCGTGTCACAAAACAAGTCGACTACAGCAGTTTTGTCCTGGGGAAAAAAAAAGGTTTGAATTAGCAGTAATGGACCCGAGACACGGCAAGTATTGTTTTGTAGCTGTCATCAATAATAAGTAGAGGATTTTCTTCTGATTATTAATCCCCCGGAGGGGTAATAATTGCCGGTAATAATAATCCCTTGACTGCCAGCCAGTGTGCCCAAGGTGCGACCTACATCAGCCCACTACAGCTTTACTAGCTAAATAGAGGCACCAGTGTAAGAAGAGTTTCCATTCATCTAGCTTCGCCCAGAGTTGAAACCAGTCCTTTCGGTTTTGAGTCGAACGCTCGTGCCACTGAATAATGAAATACATACATACACCTTATTAGGGGGGATATGATTGAGGTGTATAAATGGAAGACAGGAATAAATAAAGGGGATGTAAATAGTGTGCTGAAAATATCTAGCCTAGACAGGACTCGCAGCAATGGTTTTAAGTTGGAAAAATTCAGATTCAGGAAGGATATAGGAAAGTACTGGTTTGGTAATAGAGTTGTGGATGAGTGGAACAAACTCCCAAGTACCGTTATAGAGGCTAGAACGTTGTGTAGCTTTAAAAATAGGTTGGATAAATACATGAGTAGATGTGTGGGGTGTGAGTTAGACCTGATAGCTTGTGCTACCAGGTCGGTTGCCGTGTTTCCTTCCTTAAGTCAATGTGACCTGACCTGACTAGGTTGGGTGCATTGGCTTAAGCCGGTAGGAGACTTGGACCTGCCTCGCATGGGACAGTAGGCACTTCTGCAGTGTTCCTTCGTTCTTATGTTCTTATGTTCTTATGTTCTTATTCGCTCTCTCTCTCTCTCTCCTCTCTCTCATCTCTCTCTCTCTCTCTCTCTCCTCTCTCTCTCTCTCTTCTCTCTCTCTCCTCTCACTCACTCAGCAACATATATCGCTGTATTCTCCACCGCTCACTTTCTCATTACGTGTTTTTGTGTTGTGCATGGCGGAGATCAATGCGTAAGTGTGACGCATGGCGAGCCATTTTCCTACGCACGTATTGCTCCGGATATTAATTTTGGCGACAAACTGCTCAAACTGGAGGTGGGAGGGGTGTGGGGTAGTTGGGAGGGGGTGTGGCCGTGAGGAGGGGGTGTGGCCGTGAAGATGGGGTGCTGCGATGGGGAGGGAGTGTGCGGCCGTAGGGAGGCGGGACAGTGAGAGGGGAAGTGCCTGGGGAAGGAGGAGTGGCAGTTCCGAGAGGGAGAGAGAGAAGAGGGATGGAGAGCACAGATGAGGTGAGAGACGTCGAAGATTGTGGAGGGAGGAGTTTTTTGTAATAATAATAATAATAATCTTTATTTCCAGCTGACATTAATGACATACTACTATATATGAACGATATGACCCTGAAGCTTCATACCGATCCAGACCATGAAGCTGAACTCTTCTCCCGGCTGAAGGACTGACCACCTCAAATATTTTTTCTCCAAGGTTGATAGACTGATTACATCATCTTTATTCCATTACTACTGTTCTTCTGTATTTGACTGAAGAAACCTACTGTGTAGGCGAAACGTTTCATCAATAAAGATACCCAACTGTTGCACATGTGTCTTAATCTTCAACTTGTCGGAATTTTATACCATTTTCAATAAAACTGGATTATTGCCTTAGCCAGAAAATGGTGTAATAGCAAGATGGAGTTTTCTATTATATTTTTCCCCAGAATGTGACCTACATGGGTTTACATGACTAACATCTACATTATCTTTGTATGTAATTAGTGAGAAAATTTTAATTTTGCTCCATTAGATCCCTCCAGGGAGGTTCCTTGATGCTGGTGAGGGGCTCTTGATCTAGGGAATTGGATCTGTGCTCCAGTTCCCTGAATTGAGTCTAAATGCCTTCCACATTTCACAGGGGCTCTTTAATCCGTATGGGTTTAGTGCTCCCATAATAATAATAATAATAATTAATAATAATAATAATAATATAATAATAATAATGACAATGCTCCAATAGAACGAAAAAAACTATTGTTTACACCACAGTCGACTTCGTGAGATTTTCACCCGCGTCAGGAAACACTTGTCCTCTTTCCTGACGAACCTTAGCTTACCTAACATAACCTAACCTCTCTTAACCTAGCCTAACCTAACCTCTCGTGAACGACAGGCAAGTGGCAAACTAGATACTGGTAAACCCACCCCCTTCCCCTCTCTCTCTCTCTCTGTTATTTTACCTCAATACTAAATATTGATCTAAAATAACAAAACGCAGCCATCTTGTGATTACCAAATTGACGTATTGTCAAAGGGAATGATGATTCAGTTTGGTGATTTATGAACACTGGAAATTACCACCTGGGTAATCCGTGAATCCGGCTGCTTACCCATATGTGAAATTGTTCAGAATACGTTGCTTAAGCCTTTCTCTTTCTTGTATTCTCTTTAGGTGGCCTCGTGGCCTGGTGGCTAAGCCTCTCGCTTCACACGGCGAGGGTTCGGGTTCGATTCCCGGCAAGAGCAGTAACATTGGGTGTGTTTCCTTACACCGGTTGTCTATGTTCACCCATCAGTAAAATGGGTACCTGGGTGTTAGTCGACTGGTGTGGGTCGCATCCTGGGACACTGACCTAATTTGCCCGAAATGCTCTGACATTGATGTCAGCTAGGTCTGTATATCTTGTACGTGCACTTGTAAAAATATTATTATTATTATTATTATTATTATTATTATTATTATTATTATTATTATACAGGGATATTCACACGAGTGTAAAGGGACATTTACACGAGTATAAAGGGATACTCTGTATCTACCTGGAGGTCGTTCCGGGGGTCAAAGCCCCCGAGCCCCGGTCCTCGACCCATACGGGTTTAGTGTTTGTCCTGAATACGGCCAGCTGTCTTATTAACCTCCGCTATATAAAACGAAATTTTCATTGGTGTCCTTGATTTGTATGGAAATAAACAACAATGTTGAGTTTTCTTAGGTTATCCTGTGTTAATAATTTTCCAAGTTAATAGTCCTAATGAATTCTTAAATAAGAAGTAGAACGAACCATTAATGTTCAAATAAATAAATAAATAAATAAACTATAAAGGACCCCAATGGAAATAAGTCATTCAGTCTGACTTTTTTGGGTTATCCCAGGTTCTCTACACATATGCTGCTATGTATGATAATTCTGTGTAACTGTATTTGTGTATACCTGAATAAACTTACTTATAACGTGATAATTTAGAGGACTCCTTAATTAGGTTTAGCCTGTAATCGTCAGTAAAACTGAGCGAAATGGCCTCATTCTACGAGAATTATATGATATGACCAAAAGCTGGAGTTCAACCGCTTTCAGATAGGCAAGCAAACAAGTGAACACAGTAGAATACTAGTCTTGAGGTGGGTTAGAGGGGAAAATTGAAGTAGCGCCCAAAAAACGCAATTAGTTGAGTTCATCACTATAACATACATTTTCTCTCACGTTCATAGAAAACTAGCAGTAACAAACCATTTTCTACCCCAAACTGAAATAATATATATATATATATATATATATATATATATATATATAATATATATATATTATATATATATATATATATATATATATATAATGACGTCACCTCTTGTTGCAGACGGGTCCGGCAGCCACCTCAACCTCTTCAGTAACAAGCAGCCGCCAAAGAAGAAGCGGAAGAGCCGGACAGCCTTCACCAACCACCAGATCTTTGAGTTGGAGAAGCGGTTCCTCTACCAGAAGTACCTGTCACCAGCTGACAGGGACGAGGTAGCCCAGACGCTGGGGCTCAGTAACGCGCAGGTAAGAGAGGAGAGAGGAAGGTGGGCATAGAGGAAAGGTGGCAGGTTAACACCAAGTAGGAACGGAGGAATAAACAGATTCACGAGGGAGATGTGACGAAGGAAAGAAGGGAGGGATAGACACTTCAATGATTATGCTGAAGAGGATCTCAGAATGGGGTCGAAATATACAGACCAACCAGTCTCTTGAGTGTATGTCTCCATGTGGGTTATTATTGAGCATGTTATAAGGTGTTACGGACAGAGGAAGGAAGGAAGAGAGGGATAGACAGTGAGATGAAAGATATATAATGTAGAATGTCCAAGGAAAGGAGAGAGAAACGCCAAACGTTCTACCACTACTCTGAGATAAGATAATTCTGAGCCAATCTCTTCCCCCCACAATTGCTAACGTTACACCCAGGAGCGCCTGACAGCGCTAATTAAATTTCCCTTACACTTGCCTGGCAACGCACTGAGCCAGCCACTCTTTATTTCTTACTGAATTCTCTCTCTCTCTCTCTCTCTCTCTCTCTCTCTCTATATATATATATAATATATATATATATTATATATAATATATATATATTATATATATATAAATATATATATATATTATATATTTTTATATATGCAATAAGATCACAGTAAACAGGTGATATCAGAATATGCAAAACAACCACTGTGAAAAAATAGTTAAATTCCAATCGCTTTCGGGGACTCTCACATTATAAAGGGAGTAGTTCCTTGATAATGTGAGAAGTCACGAAAGTGCTTGGGAAATTTTAATATTCTTTCACAGTGGTTGTTTTGCATATATATATATATAATATATATATATAATATATTAATATATAATATATATATATATAATATATATATATATATATAGGTATAGGTTGGTAGACAGCAACCACCCCGGGAAGTACTACCGTCCTGCCAGATGAAATGTGAAACAGAAACCTGTAACGTTTTGCATGATGGTAGGATTGCCTGGTGTCTTTTTCTGTCTCATAAACACACTAGATAACAGGGATATCTTGCTACTCCTACTTACACCTTGGTCACACTTCACAGACACGCACATGCATATATATATATACAAAACATCTAGGTTTTTCTCCTTTTTCTGAATAACTCATGTTCTTCTTTTTCTTCTATTGTCCATGGGGAAGTGGAAAAGAATCTTTCCTCCGTAAGCCATGCGTGTCGTATGAGGCGACTAAAATGCCAGGAACAATGGGTTTAGTAACCCCTTCTCCTGTAGACATTTACTAAAAAAGAGAAGAAAAACTTATAAAACTGGATGCTTGAATGTGCGTGGATGCAGTGCGGATGACAAGAAACAGATTGATTGCTGATGTTATGAATGAAAAGAAGTTGGATGTCCTGGCCCTAAGCGAAACAAAGCTGAAAGGGTAGGGGAGTTTCGGTGGGGGGAAATAAATGGGATTAAATCTGAGTATCTGAGAGAGTTAGAGCAAAGGAAGTGTACATAATATTGAAGGATCAGTTATGGAATGAGAAAAGAGAATATGAATTTTTGTAAATTCAAGAATTATTGGATTAAAGTAAAGGTTGGATGCGAAAAGTGGGTCATAATAAGCGTGTATGCACCTGGAGAAGAAGGAATGTAGAGGAGAGAGAGATTTTTGGGGAGATGTTAAGTGAATGTATAGGAACCTTTGAACCAAGTGAGAGAGTAATTGTGGTAAGGGACCTAAAATGGTAAAGTAGGAGAAACTTTTAGAGAGGTGTGGTAGGTAAGTTTGGGGTACCAGGTGTAAATGATAATGGGAGCCCTTTGATTGAACTTTGTATAGAAAGGGGTTTAGTTATAGGTAATACATATTTTAAGAAAAAGAGGATAAATAAGTATACAAGATATGATTAGGGCGAAATGACAGTAGTTTGTTGGGTTATGTATTGGTAGATAAAAGACTGTTGAGTAGACTTCAGGATGTACATGTTTTTTAGAGAGGCCACAAATATATTAGATCACTTTCTAGTTGTAGCTACACTGAGAGTAACAAGGTAGATGGGATACAAGGAGAATTGAAGCATCAGGGAAGAGAGAGGTGAAGGTTTATAAACTAAAAGAGGAGGCAGTTAGGGTAAGATATAAACAGCTATTGGAGGATAGATGGGCTAATGAGAGCATAGGCAATGGGGTCGAAGAGGTATGGGGTAGGTTTAAAATGTAGTGTTAGAGTGTTCAGCAGAAGTTTGTGGTTACAGGAAAGTGGGTGCGGGAGGGAAGAGGAGCGATTGGTGGAATGATGATGTAAAGAGAGTAGTAAGGGAGAAAAAGTTAGCATATGAGAAGTTTTTACAAAGTAGAAGTGATGCAAGGAGGGAAGAGTATATGGAGAAAAAGAGAGAGGTTAAGAGAGTGGTGAAGCAATGTAAAAAGAGAGCAAATGAGAGAGTGGGTGAGATGTTATCAACAAATTTTGTTGAAAATAAGAAAAAGTTTTGGAGTGAGATTAACAAATTAAGGAAGCCTAGAGAACAAATGGATTTGTCAGTTAAAAATAGGAGAGGAGAGTTATTAAATGGAGAGTTAGAGGTATTGGGAAGATGGAGGGAATATTTTGAGGAATTGTTAAATGTTAATGAAGATAGGGAAGCTGTGATTTCGTGTACATGGCAAGGAGGAATAACATCTTGTAGGAGTGAGGAAGAGCCAGTTGTGAGTGTGGGGGAAGTTCGTGAGGCAGTAGGTAAAATGAAAGGGGGTAAGGCAGCCGGGATTGATGGGATAAAGATAGAAATGTTAAAAGCAGGTGGGGATATAGTTTTGGAGTGGTTGGTGCAATTATTTAATAAATGTATGGAAGAGGGTAAGGTACCTAGGGATTGGCAGAGAGCATGCATAGTTCCTTTGTATAAAGGCAAAGGGGATAAAAGAGAGTGCAAAAATTATAGGGGGATAAGTCTGTTGAGTATACCTGGTAAAGTGTATGGTAGAGTTATAATTGAAAGAATTAAGAGTAAGACAGAGAATAGGATAGCAGATGAACAAGGAGGCTTTAGGAAAGGTGTGTGGATCGGGTGTTTACAGTGAAACATGTAAGTGAACAGTATTTAGATAAGGCTAAAGAGGTCTTTGTGGCATTTATGGATTTGGAAAAGGCATATGACAGGGTGGATAGGGGGGCAATGTGGCAGATGTTGCAGGTGTATGGTGTAGGAGGTAGGTTACTGAAAGCAGTGAAGAGTTTTTACGAGGATAGTGAGGCTCAAGTTAGAGTATGTAGGAAAGAGGGAAATTATTTCCCAGTAAAAGTAGGTCTTAGACAAGGATGTGTAATGTCACCGTGGTTGTTTAATATATTTATAGATCGGGTTGTAAGAGAAGTAAATGCGAGGGTCTTGCAAGAGGCGTGGAGTTAAAAGATAAAGAATCACACATAAAGTGGGAGTTGTCACAGTTGCTCTTTGCTGATGACACTGTGCTCTTGGGAGATTCTGAAGAGAAGTTGCAGAGATTGGTGGATGAATTTGGTAGGGTGTGCAAAAGAAGAAAATTAAAAGTGAATACAGGAAAGAGTAAGGTAATGAGGATAACAAAAAGATTAGGTGATGAAAGATTGGATATCAGATTGGAGGGAGAGAGTATGGAGGAGGTGAATGTATTCAGATATCTGGGAGTGGACGTGTCAGCGGATGGGTCTATGAAAGATGAGGTGAATCATAGAATTGATGAGGGGAAAAGGGTGAGTGGTGCACTAGGAGTCTGTGGAGGCAAAGAACTTTGTCCTTGAGGCAAAGAGGGGAATGTATGAGAGTATAGTTTTACCAACGCTCTATATGGGTGTGAAGCATGGGTGATGAATGTTGCAGCAAGGAGAAGGCTGGAGGCAGTGGAGGTGTCATATCTGAGGGCAATGTGTGGTGTGAATATAATGCAGAGAATTCGTAGTTTGGAAGTTAGGAGGAGGTGCAGATTACCAAAAACTGTTGTCCAGAGGCTGAGGAAGGTTGTTGAGGTGGTTCGGACATGTAGAGAGAATGGAGCGAAACAGAGTGACTTTAAGAGTGTATCAGTCTGTAGTGGAAGGAAGGCGGGTAGGGGTCGGCCTAGGAAAGGTTGGAGGGAGGGGTAAAGGAGGTTTTGTGTGCGAGGGGCTATGGACTTCCAGCAGGCATGCGTGAGCGTGTGATAGGAGTGAATGGAGACAAATGGTTTTTAATACTTGACGTGCTGTTGGAGTGTGAGCAAAGTAACATTTATGAAGGGGTTCAGGGAAACCGGCAGGCCGGACTTGAGTCCTGGAGATGGGAAGTACAGTGCCTGCACTCTGAAGGAGGGTGTTAATGTTGCAGTTTAAAAACTGTAGTGTAAAGCACCCTTCTGGCAAGACAGTGATGGAGCGAATGATGGTGAAAGTTTTTCTTTTTCGGGCCACCCTGCCTTGGTGGGAATCGCCAGTGTGATAATAAAATAAAATATATATATATATATATATATATATATATATATATATATATATATATATATATATATATATATTCATTTGTTCCACGGGAACTTCTATCGTCCACTAGTGTTTCTCTTCAAAGAGAGATAACCTCTTTGAAGTGAAAGGCTGGTGAGTCAAGGAACTGGCGCTACTCTCCCCTTCTTTGTTGCACCTGGGGTTTATTAGTTTACTAGTCACCCCCAGGCGCTAGCTGGCCCCTAAAAGATTAACACTTTCCTTGATATAATACTTTCCTAGTAGTGTTTAACATGGCCTGCAGGAAAACGGGAAATGAAAATGGATAGGGATTTAAAGTGGGATTATGTAGGGAATAAAGTAGAAGGAATAAAGGATAGAATAATTTGAGCATCTAAATGGGACGGAATGAGTCTGTAATTAGATAAAGAGTGAACTTTGGTTTTAGAGTCAGGTTATTAAGGACTTGGTAAAGAAACTTAGCTGGGACTAAATACAGTCTGGTGAAGACTGGGAATGACGGAATGGGGGATGGGAGTAGTTGGAATGGGAGGAGGGAAGAGGACGAGATAGGGAAGACAGGACGAATAGAAGGTCTGGTTAGTGCAGTCACAAATCATTAAGAGTCTTTTCTTATAAACGTACGTGTGTGTGTGTGTGTGTGTGTGTGTGTGTGTGTGTGTGTGTGTGTGTGTGTGTGTGTGTGTGTGTGTGTGTGTGTGTGTGTGTGTGTGTGTGTAACATCACATTAGGCCAATTCTTTGAATAAAATCCACTTTAATATGACACACACACAAACTTTTTCTATAACCTACCCACTAGAGCCCCCAACAGCCCTTCTGAGAGAGGCATCCAGTCTAATCCTCTTCCTCCTGTTGCAGGTGATTACATGGTTCCAGAACCGGCGGGCGAAACTGAAGAGGGACATGGAGGAGCTGAAGAAGGACGTCACGTCTCACAAGATCCTCAGTGACCACTCTACCTTCATCAAGACCATGACGCAGATGGGACTCCTCAAACACAAGCCTGGAGAGCCGTTCGACCTCAAGAAACTCACCGGGTGATGGTGATAATGATGGTGACTGATCACAATAAACGCCATCTTGATGATGATGATGATGAGAAGAATGATTGTGATGGCGGAAGTGGAGACAAACATGATGATCACGAATAATGTGAGAATGGTGATGTGTTGAAGATAATGTTAATAATGATAATGGTGATAATGATGGTGAAGATGATGAGTTTGTAAGTGCCAAGAGAAAGTGTCCTCCTCTTCCTTCTGGACTCGTGTTTGGAAGGAGGTGCGAGAAAGAAGAGGGAAGAAAGACGGAAACGAGAGGAAAATCTTTTAGGAAGCTTCGGGGAGGAATACAATGAAAGGGATACAATGAAAGGGATACATTGAGAGGACCACAATGAGAGGGATACATTGAGAGGACCACAATGAGAGGGACACATTGAGAGGACCACAATGAGAGGGATACAATGAGAGGACCACATTGAGAGGGGATACAATACCACATAGTGAGTCTCAGGAAAACAAATCATTTAAACATCCTCTCATTTATTTTTCAAGAAACACGAAGGTAAATCCTTCAAGACTTCACGAAAATCAAACCAAGTCTTAAATATGTCTTAAAACTGTCTTAAAACTGTCTTAAAACTGTCTTGTCTGCCCCTATGCGTCGTGCAGCTCACGATTAGACTGTCAAACAAGTCTGGAGATAAACATTAAAGCTTCAAAACAAGTCTAGGTTAATTTAACATAAATAGATCTGAATTCTCCATGCACATGTTTGAGGTTTGAGTTATCTACAATATATTTGCCTGATAATGTTCAATAAATCTACAAGGTGGTTCATTTATTTATATGCGGCAATTTATCTTAAGTTCTCATATACACAGCGTCGTAAGATGCAGTGCACAGGACGCTGTACACTACCCCCAGTACACTAGATCCGGCACACCAGATCCCCCAGTACACTACACCCAATACACTAGACTTCCAGTACACGAGACCCCAGTGCACTAGACCCGGTACACTAGACCCCAGTACACTAGACCCCCAGTACACTAGACCCGGTACACTAGACCCCCAGTACACTAGACCCCCAGTACACTAGACCCGGTACACTAGACTCCCAGTACACTAGACCCGGTACACTAGACCCCCAGTACACTAGACCCCCAGTACACTAGACCCCCAGTACACTAGACCCGGTACACTAGACTCCCAGTACACTAGACCAGGTACACTAGACTCCCAGTACACTAGACCCCCAGTACACTAGACCCGGTACACTAGACTCCCAGTACACTAGACCCGGTACACTAGACCCAGTACACTAGACCCCCCAGTACACTACACCCAATACACTGGATCATAATACACGAGACCCCAATACACTAGACCCGGTACACTAAACCCCCAGTACACTAGACCCGGTACACTAGACTCCCAGTACACGAGACCCCAGCACACTAGAGCCTGTACAATAGACCCAGTACACTAGACCCAGTACACTAGATCCCAGCACACTATACTCTGTATACTAGATCCAGTACACTAGACCCCCAGTACGCTAGACCCAGCAATACACTAGATCCTGTACACTAGACCCAGTACACTAGACCCCTGTACACTAGGACCATTACACTAGATTGAGTACACTAGACCAGTACACTAGATCCAGTACACTAGACCCAAGTACACTAGACCCAGTAGCACACTAGACCCCAGTACACTAGGACCAGTACACTAGACCCCATTACACTAGACCCCAGTACACTAGATCCAGTACACTAGATCCAGTACACCAGATTCAGTACACTAGACCAGTACACTAGACCTCAGTACACTAGGACCAGTACACTAGACCCCAGTACACTAGATCCCAGTACACTAGATCCAGTACACTAGATCCAGTACACTAAATCCAGTACGCTAATCCAGTACACCAGATTCAGTACACTAGACCAGTACACTAGACCCCAGTACACTAGACTCTAGTACACTAGACCCCAGTGCACTAGACCCCCAGTACACTTACCAAAATCAACGCAGCTCTTTTAAGTGCAAGTGACACAACAACAACAACAATAACCTAACTGAACAATCTTTTTTCATTGGCCACTAACTGTATTAGCATGAGTTGAACCTGCCTAGCATGGGTCAGTAGGCCTGTTGCAGTGCTCCTTCTTTCTTATGTTCTTAAAGCAACATCAGACATTAGTTCAACTACCCAGGAGTGATTATCATACTGAACATCCTACAGGAAACACATGAACAACAACACAGCAACATATAAAACACTGGAAGACCTTTAAGAACAGTATTTAGGGACTTTAGCCACACGTCTAGTTAGTCTTCGAGTATGAGGAACCAGTGTGGAGCTCACACTTATTCATGTGTAGAAGCTCGAGAAAATCCAGAGTTTTGTAACGTGATTAGTTCTGGAGTTGAAGATAATGAACTACGGAGATGTTCTGAACTTGGGCATTGATATATAGTAGTTGACACAGAGAGAATGAGGTGAGAGGGACAGTAACAAGGGGAAATTATTACAGCTGAAAAACCTGTGTGAGCCACAAGGATTTTAGGAAATACTTTCTAAGCTGTGGAAAAAAGTGAAAGAATGTGGATGAGGAGGCAGTGGAAGCAAACATTATAGACAGTTCCAAGAGAAAATAAACGGTGCCAGAGGCAAGGAACCAGGAACAGTAAATGCAGCTTCAGAGATGGGGCCAAGAGCTGAGACTCAGACCCCATAAGCGCCGTTCTAACAAAACATTCTCCCACTTATGGGGGGACTACTGAGGAGATTTCATTTGGGTAAAGTACAAACTATTTCTGTCGCTCATCAGATGACTTTAATAAGGTTCAATAAACATGGTCAGAAAGACGAAATAAATAAAAAAATAGTGTTTCTGCTCCCAGGATAGTCTGAGCAGAGGTTCATGAGCCACAACCCGATGCTAGAGGACTTTCCTTAGATTTGGCGCCACTGGCTCTCTAATGTGACATGACTGCCTCTCTAATGTGACAAGACTGGCTCTTGAAGTGCAGCTGGTATGTAACTCCCGGCCAGCTGGTTACAATATCCCCAGCAACAATACAATAATTTATTCATCTACATTCAATTTTGTAATACGTCAACACAGATTTTTTGTAACTCGTCGTCAGGCGCAACACTTATGTAACACATGATGTAAATAACTCTGTACAGCTTCATGTAAATATTTTTGTAATAAAATAGACATATCGAAATGTACCACTTCGGCGTTTTTCTTCCCACTCTCTCAGAACTGGAGAACTTTGGGGTGGGAGTGGGGGGGAACCACTGGATATCCTCGCCAGTGACAACGTTTCGGCCACTCGGGGATGTGGACAATATATGTCACTTCTCCAGCTGTGTCATTCAACAAGTGGGGACTTATCAACCTGTTGTATACTTGACCTTGTTAGTAGTTCGGTAGTTAAATGTGAGTCTAGTTCCTGCACAGTTTGCTTTAATTAAGAATTTTATAATTATTATTATTGCTATCATTATCATTATTACAAGTTTTATTACTGTTATTGTTATAATTATTTCATTATTGTTATATTAATGGGGAAGAGCTAAACTCTTAGGGGTCATATAGTACCTGTGGAATGGGAGACAATCAGGTTTCGATCTAAGGAAGGGGAGGATAGCACTGTTTCCTTGGATCTAGAGCCCATCACCAGCATCAAGAAACCTCCCACGAGAAGCAAATGATAATACCTGCTATAAAGTTCTGCCTATAATTAGCCTAGTTGTCAGTCCACTGTGTCTAGGCTACTGTATATGCACTGAAAAGTGTATTTATCTCAGTATATTCATGTTTAAAATTTACTTAAATCCCTATATTAGGAATTAAAGTATTCTTGTTAGGTTTAATGACCCTCGTATAGTCGATAGGTTTTAAACCTCGTTAACCAACCAATCTAAGCCACTTGTCAGTCATTTGGAATAGTTGGTGGAGTGAGGGTTGCTCTTCACCTGTGTTAAAGTGATGGACCAAGTAATGGGAAACACAACTTACATCTTTCACAATGACTGAGTGAAGCTGTGTTGTTTACGATAAGGAACTGCAAATGTGTGTGAGTGAGATCAAATCATCACATCAGTAAAGTAAGTCTTCCTGTACTAGTAGAGCTAACATATGAGTAATAAGGCACATGTTCAACACCTGACAGTAGATTCATCAAGACTAGGATGGTGACCATTCTCATCTAGGCTGAGGGACTGATTACCTAGTATTATACTGTCTTCAGTGTCAACATCTTCAAATAATCTTCGTATTGAATTAATACAGCCACTGACTGGTGCTCCACAAGCGTCTTATCCATACACCTGTCGGTATTAAATACCAGTACTACTACGAAACCTGAAGGAGATGAGGGAGTGATGATGGAGGCGTATAAGGGATGAGGCGAAGGAGGACCAGAAAGGAAGTAGAGGGTGATGTTGCTCCAGCTCTGTCATCCACTTGATATGGTATTTACTTGTATAAATTTTGTAATATGTACACAGTATAGTAACTCGATATAATGTTAAACATGTTAATTTTCTGTTATCGACTGGATTAATAATGGAGAGGCCAGCTGGATTCAACCAAGAAAAGTCTTCAATCATTCTTATTGTATATTTTGTTGGGTGGGGCCGTATCTCCCTGCTAAAAAGACTTAAACTTTTTTATTTTTTTCGACCCACCGCTTAAAACAAATCTTCTAAATCAAAAACATTTTGTGGGGACAAATTTGATTAGTTCTTTTAGCTGAGAGTTGATCAGCAGGTTTAGGGAGGACTGGATTGGCAGGGAATTGGGATTTCTAATTGAAAACCCAAAAGGCAAGGGAAGCCTGCTTTCTTAGAGGGGAAAATAATCATGGATATGGGCTCCTGCTGTGTTTAGGGGTTTTGGGTTATTTTCCCCCACGGCTCATAGACGGAAAGGAAATTTTCAGAAAATGGTTTATTATAAAGACACGGGAAAGTAAAGGACTGTATACTGTTTTCTTATAACTGTGTTCGTGAAAGAGAAAGAATGAATCAGTACCCGCCAGAATAAAAAAAAAGTTTCCAAAACGGGATGGTCTTCATTCATTCATTAGAGTTTCGCCGGTTTTTTCCGGCACGGGTCTTCCCCTATGGGGACCCGGCACGGTGGTATCCCCCTCCCTGGTGGTTATCTGATTACGTAAAGGCTTCAGGGGTCAAGCCCCCGCTCCCTGGTCTGGGGTTGATCAAATCGAGCATCAGTCCCCTTTACCCTTTGGGCACCCCCCTTCCCCCAGTGATATTGTGGGTTTCTTTAAGTGTTGAGTTAATTGTAACAATTAAAATTTAAATTTGAAGAATCTCTCTCAGAGAATAGCAGCAATTACATGTAGGTGTGAACTCTTGTAATAGACAAAGCGTTCAGTAAATTTGGTGACACATTAATTTTTTTTTTTTTCAAATTCCTCTGTGTCCCTATGGAAGAATGGGGGCCCAGATGTAGGGTAGTACAAACAAGTGCAGAATTTCCCAATTGATCAATTGAAGGAATTACTCTTGTACCGTCTTATGTACTCAATATGTAGTTGCAGGGCCCGTCCCTTCGCTTGGCCTTTTTACTATTTTTTAAATGTAATTAAGCTATTTTGGGGTGATACCTAAACCCGGGCGACAAGTAGTGGTAGTGTGGTAATGGGGGAGGGGGGAATTTATTCATTAACAAATACAGTTTTCAAGATTCATACATAGCAGCATATTGAGGAACCTGGATAACCCAGGGCAGGGTTCCCAAATGGGGTAAATTACCCCCTGGGGGAAAATTTAACCATTTTTGGGGGGGAAAGGAGTTGTGAAGAAAAAAGTTATGAATTCTGAAAATCAAGAAAACAAAGCGGTACCCCGTATGAGGATTATTGTTAACTTTGTCTTTGTATATAAAGTTTAAAATAAACCATTAAAAGTAAGTAATAAAGTTAAATCCAAATAACAAAAACATCAAAAACTAATATACTATTAAAAAAAAGAAATAATAGCAAGTTTTGGAAACCCAAAAATATTTTGACAATATGCTTTAGGACAAAAGTCACTCGTAGCCAATCACCGTCCATACGCTCATACTTCCTGAGGCTGCCCCTATTTCACACTGTCAGTTTTTCTGTGAGCATCACCGAGGGAGACATAAGCTGGAGTATGTGTACTGCCCTGGCATAATAGTTAGTATTACCCACTTTTACTGTGAATTTGTAGCTATTATTAATTTTTTTATATAAAGTTTGTGGGTTTTACTTTTCAATGGTTTTGCTAAAAAGCAGAGTATGGAGGGGGTAACTTTTACGTTTAGCCATATATATCAAAATAAAAACATTTTGTGAAAGGGTAACATGTTTAGTGGCATGTTTTAAAATGGGTAACAGCTGAAAAAGTTTGGGAAAACCCCGCCTGGGGGTTTGGAAGTGGTGTGTGTGCGGGTGGTGGGGAAGGAGGTGGGGTTTGTGGGAAATATGGTGTTGGTGGTGGGGAAGGAGGTGGGTGTGGGAAAGTGGGGGGGGAGGAGGTGGGGGTTTGGCAGTGGTGGTTTGGTGGAGGTTGGGGGCAATAGTGGGGTGCGGGGGGGGTTCATCACACCACAACAAAAACCCGTCTCAGACTTTCACACTCTCACAGTGTTTACGGACTCTCTCTGGCCTCCCACTGACCACAAAACACGTGAGTTGTCATTATTACATGTTTACCATGAAGCATGGATGAATAGTTACATAATATTCTAATAAAACTTTAAGCACATACACCTTTAGGTGTATGTGCATGCGTGAGCACTCATTAAAGTGTGCTTGCTAACTTCAGCTGCTCGGTACATTCACTTACCCACCCAATATGTCTGTGAAGGTCGAACTTTATCCTATTCGCCCCGATCTTTGATCGTCAATGTCGTGGTGTAATGACTCCTGCCCTTGTTATGCTTCGTTATTTCTATTATTATTAAAGATTCGCCGGTATTCTCCCGGCCCGGGCCTTTTCCAAGTGGTGGCCCGGCCTTGGCTCCCTCTTTAGGGAGTGTCTGAGACCTAAGTCTCCCATGGGAGGAGGCACAAGTACCTCCTCATCTTTGGGACTAACTGTCCCCAGGCCTAGCCACAAGCTAGGCCTCTCTGGTCTGCCATCCCCGCCCCAAGGGGGCAAATGGGAATGACAGTCTTATGAGCTAAAGGCTCGGGCTCAGGCACCTACCCTACCCTAGAAGGGTTAGGCATGGTGTCGATCTCGTTATTTCTATTTGTAGCTATGTCACATGCTACCAAGGTTTGCTTGCATGCTACATAAGGATATTTCTTTATTATTAATAATACTGGAACGTTAATAACTCAGCTTAAGAAAGCCAAACAGTTTGGCATATTTCCAATGATTTTTTATATTTCCCAGGATGCGACCTACATTAGCCAACTTAGGCTCAGGTTCTAACGTTTGTCGTTCCTTCTCTACCATCACAATGAACTGATGTCTCCTTAAGACGCTTCGTAACTTTTAAATCAGCGTCAACTTGTTCAAAGATGACCCACATCTGGGAGAGGAAACTTATGACGGCATTTTAATCGGTTCTGGACCAATGTCTGCGTTGACGATGTCCCTGGGTATCTTGTACGTTGTGATCATATATTCATATGGTCTGTGTCTCCTGCACATAACATGTACAGTACCGATCAAGGATACTTTAATCTACAGAAAGGGATTAAAGTAAATCTCAGTATACTAGTATATAGAGTAAGAGATACACCTCGCAGTGTACATACCCTTGTCGTGTGAGATTTAGTTCGTTGAGCCTATCATCATTATCATCGTTGTTAAACAATGTATTGGTAATTCCGCTCGTAATTTTTAATGAGGTAAAACACCGGAAAATTTTTGACAAAAATATCAAATTTTTTGACCCTGAACTGCCTGGGAGGCAGTAGTCATCCTAGCACAACGCACGTAATGACTCCATCCTCTTCTCCATGTGAAGGTGACATAAACCTTGAAGGTCATCTCTTACCCCTCTCTCCATGACTTAAAACAAGTTACTATGCAACTCATGATACATTTTTTTTAATATTCCGCGAAGCATGAGTGGGCATGTCCAGGTTGGTAATTAAGATGTGTTAGTTAAACCTGTCTCATTTATTCTGTCTCTGTGTATGTAGTCCTCTGTGTTCTCCCATTCCTTGTGTGACCATTCTCTCTCTCTCTCTC